CGTGTTCATGGTGTTGCTCATGTTAAAGCACCCTTTCCCTGTAGTTCAAAAGTGCATTAAATCATATTCATATTATTAAATTGCATCTAAAATTATTTTATATTTGGTAAGAAAAAGACAAGTTACTTCTCAAACATACTTATCTTAATTTGAAGTTCCTTTAGTAGCCTACGTTTACGTTATTTTTTACACTATATTTACACTGCACTGCTCAGTTTAAATAGCCTGTAGTCCGTGCCGTTCAGCGTGACCACCATACCCCCGTGATATTACTATGCCAAGCACATTTTGTTTTACGTGGATATTGGAACGTGAAGTACAACATTTTAAATTAATTCGTTTTGGCTTGTTAGTAGCTTCTTATATTTTTTTTATTCTTGTTTTGTTCTGAGTTCTGTTCTACCGTTAAATTTAAAGTATTTGAGGGGAACTAAAATAGCATGGTTTTCAATGTTTGGCTCACTGTATTTTATTATGACAATGAACAGGCTGCATTGTCCAGTTAGTAATGCTTGCGCGAGTGAGGTGCCGGCACGATCACTTGTTTTTTTTTTTGTTTTTTTTTTAAAGTGGAAACAACTTACACCGTCTACACCGGACGCGAGAGCGGCGCGGCAACTGTCGTGTCCGGTGTAGACACGGTGTTACTACTCCTTCATTTGTGGTCATATGAGAGTAAGACATTATTCAAAACTATTCTAAATATTCGTTTGTGTACATTCACAATAAAAACAAAACATTGTGCTTTTGTAAAATAAAGGAAAAAAACAGGATGCCGCTTTCTCAAGAGCGCATCACAAAAATGAGCCGAAATTCTGCATTTAGGCTGCTAATTGTTGCAGTTTTTTTCTTTCGTTTTGTTAATTTATTATTTAGAAAAATGTATTTCACATATATGCCTATTTATTTCTTTTATATAGCCTATAGCTTTATTATGTTTTTCTGCATTCACAGAGGCACTATAGGTGCGTGACATGGCCATATGAATCCTCACGTTCTGTTGTTTATGCTGCTTTTTGCGTGTATAAAATTAATCCCAGGAATACAAATTTAGGTATTTTTATTGGGTCACAGCCACATATCAAATCAAATTTCATTTAATTGTAATTTAACATAATGTTGTCAGTTAATAATGGCTTAACGACCGTCGGTTAGGAGATATAAAATAAACGAAATTAACATTTCCTCTAAAAGTTAATCAGAAAAATAATGATAGGCTAATACATATTTACATATGTATACATATGCACATATTTATGAATAATGCTTGATGATCAAATATCTAAATAGTCTATAACAAAGTACAAAAAAAACAACAATAACAACTCGTACTTATGCAGGCCTATACAATTTAATAATAGGATATATAATAAAGTTTTGTTTCAAATGGTTGAAGAACAGGCTACTAGCCTGTATAATTTACGTAATAGGTGAAATTATGTATGGAAACGGCTCAAGGGCAATGTTTTCTATGCTATACACCAAAACCTTTGCAACAATTCGTTTTTTTTAGGGATGACGTCATCATGCACAGCATTTTATCGGTGAAAGGCCAGTTGGATGGAAACAGGCTGTAGACAGCAATTTGATCAAAGTTTTTTTTACGCATATTCTCTTTATCGATAACAAAACAGCGCAAAAACTGGATTGAAACTTGTCATGTTGTTCAGAGACGCAAAACAGCGCTGTGGCTCTGTTTGGAATTAGCTATTTTTTATTGGCGAAATAGAGCAAAAATAGGCAATATGGTGTCTAAAACGTAAGTCTGTTAATATTAACTTCTTGTTTATTTAACTGTTGTATAAAATCAATATCACATTTGTGGTTTTTGCACAAAAAAAATGGCACTCTTTGTGTGATATTATGTAATAAGTATATAGGCCTACATTTTCTGTCCACATATTTAGAATTTTGGGAGCATTCTAAATGCATTTTATTAGACTGAATCATGCAGTGAAAGAACACACTCTAAATGAGCACAGTCAGTAAAAACGCGTAAAAATAAAATACGATGTAACATGAGCAGTTCTAAATTTAATAGGCTAGCAATCGAATCTTTTCATTTAATTTTCATTTTCACTAAGTTTCAAGTATTATAGTTTCATTGAAAAACCAGAGGTCCCTTAATGCTTATGGGAGGTCTGGGTCTCCTTCAGCCCCCCCTCAATTTGAACACTGAAAAATGTTTACCATTACATTTTGTAAAGTACTGCAGTTTTTCTGACCCGTTATCTAGGCCTATTGTTTCTCTTCCTTCTTTAAAAAGATGTAGGCTAATATAGGCCTAGATCTCTTCGATAATAAGTGTGTATTAACAAACCTATTTATAAAGAATTTAAACGTAGCTGTTATCACAGGAGATTATCAGTGCTATTTTCTGAGAGATGTTGAACCCTCAGTAATAGATAAAGCTTTTACCTTTTATCTTACAGTTGCTCCAAAGGTCAAGGTGACACATTACAGAATTATGTTTAGGATTTACCCTGTTAGTGATTTTATACAGAAAAGATTAAATTTTTAAGTGAACCCATGTGGTTCTTGTTATTCTTTTCCTGAAACATTTGATCACCTATTCTTTTACTGAGAGGTTACTTCTAAATTCTGGTTTGATATTCATTGTTGGTTGTCAGTAAAAATGGAAACAATTCCTCCATTTGTTTTGGAAGATATATTCTTCTTTAAGTGTGATTTAAATTCTCGTTTTTTTGGATGTTGTCAACTTTGTTTTATTTTTGGGTAAATATCATATTCATACATGCAAATGGTAAAAAAAAAAGGAAAGCCGTCCTTGTTTCAAGTACATTAAAAAACTAAATAGAAAGTCTGAAACTCTTTGCCACTCTATCTCAAAATATTTATTATTTTAATGTATTTTTAATTGATGTCATTTTGTACAATGGCATATACAAATTTTAATATTATTTGTATAAATTAGTATTTAGGCCTACCATTTGGAAAAAAGCTATAGGCTACATAAGAAAGGTAAAAAGCATTTAATAGCTAATTAAACATAATTGAGGATAAGTGAAAACAATAATAGAGAATGAATAGGAATAATAACGCATGAATAAGTGAAAGTGCTGGAAACCCTTACAGCAGACGCAGACGTCACGTTCAGGCAGACAAACTGTAATGTGGCAGACGCAGACGTCACGTTCGACAGATGCAGATGTCACGTTCATTGAGACGAGTGCATGTTACAACGTCATATTAAAGATCCCGTCGGAACGCCATACGTTTCAGGCAGAGCACGAACACAGAATTGATTCCTCTTTTGCTTGAACGGACACATACACGCAAAATTATCTCAAAATAACTATCTCGGCAAGTATTTTCATGTCTTAAATTAAACAGTGGAGAAAGAAATCGCAAGTGCATCATGTTGGATCCATGCATTCGGTCTTAAAGGGGCAGCAGCCTATAAATACCTCCTGTTTAAGCGCCACCTGCTGTCAGAGAGTGACATTTGCGTCTCATTCAGCCCGTCTGCTGTTTTTGTTTCGTTCAGATTTTTTATGTAGCATCACAAAGCTAAAGTCAGACAATTTTGTTTTTGTTTCAAATTTCAAAATTTTACAATCTAAATAACATGTATGCAGCATCTTTGTTTGGATCGTGATTAAAATACGCAAGCAAAACCTTAGTTTACTTTCATGGAGAAATTTCTTTTATTTGTATTATTTATTTATTTGATTTGGGATTTGTTTTAAAATTTCAAGTTAGTATATTGTTTGACATTTTCAATTTCACAAAGTAATGTGCAGCCTTTTGGTCTGAGAAATAACAAGTCAGTATCGTATGTATCATACAGTACAGTATGAATAATGAAATCAGTATTGTGAATTATATCACATCGTGAGTTGAGTGAATCGTTACTTCCCTATATGTTACTAGTTTTTGCTGTGGTATCTGGGCTAGTTAAATTCATTTTTGGGCTACCAAAATCTGAAGAATGCCTGCCCGAAGGGTTACCAGGGATTTTGAAATTTTGCGAGCCCTGTGCACATGCACACCCTCTGTCATGACATGGACGCTCAGAGTGAGTGCCAAACACATCTATTTACAGTATCCTGCACAGAGTAGCAGTGTGATAAACCGAAGACAGGAGGACAGTAGTCAGGACTGTTTAAATCGTGTGTGTGTGTGTGTGCATTTAAGGTGTATTTTCTACTGTAAGTCAAATGAATACATTTGAATTGATATTAATACAGACTTTATAGGCAGTACTCTGAGTTTGATTTCCATTCTTTTATTTTAAGAATAAATCATCAATCAAGTTATTTTGTGTGGAGTATAGTTCAGAGTGATCTTAATATACTGAAGAAAACCACATGAAGATGATTTCACAAAGTTTATGTTGAAGCATACATGACACTCCCATAATCTGTAACTGTAGAATTCCACAGAAAAGCCTTGTAGGTAAAATTGTTACATGGAAAGGTAATGGAAAAACTTTTTTTGTTTTTTTTTCAATAATCAAAAGTGCGAAATCGTGGATTGATCATTAATTGATCTATAGTTATGAGAACCCTGTTCATATTCCCTGATTTTAACAAATGAATTACTTTCAACATAATCTCATGACAATTTGTAACTTATTTTATGTTTTTGCAAATTCTTTTTCAGGATCAAATGAATTTGTACAAATTAATCTCTTCACACAGGGTTGAGTTTAGCATTGCAGCTTCTTGCTTACTTCTTTTTAAAAAATACAAATTGTATGTCTCCATACAAATCACATTGTACAAATTTATATGAAATAGCAGTTATGTTTTCTTGTAAGATCAAGTTGGTTTATTTGTCGATAATGCTTTCAGTTTCCAATGTTGCTTCCACACTGCTAGATGTCAGTATGTCCAAGACGCATTCCATATTGGCCAGTGTGATATAAACAAAAATTACTGTGTGCACCTTCAATAGGCCTAATCTGGGAAAGAAAAATGTATCCATATAATTTTATACAGCCCTGTTGATGTGTGCATCTTTATTTTATTTTTCAGTATGTCTTGGGACTGATATGAAGTTGGCTTTACCCTCCAGTCTTGAGAATCATTATGAAATGCTCAGGCTGCTGTACATGGGCTGCCGGGTGGTTCATGGTAACCTGGAGATCACACACCTGCAAGGAAATCCAGATCTCTCCTTCCTGCAGGTATGGGACTGTTGTGTGTTTGTGTGTGTCTCTATAGTGCTCTTTATTACACAGCAGATGCATATTGGTGCTTAACCATTTCTACATTCCTGTTCATTTTCTTGCTATTGTGTAAATAATCACAGTATAATTGATAATGTGTATGTGTCTACAACAATGCACTAGTGTTGTCACGGTACCAAAATTTCAGTATTCGGTAATTACATGAATGACCCATCTTATTTTTATAGATAGGCCTATGTTTAAAATTGCAAAGGCATTATAATTTTAAAATGCTCAACAAGTAGGCCTAGTGCATTACATGAATGACCCATCTTAACATTCTACTTCAAGTAGAACTTAAAAAAAGTTATTGTACAACTGATAAAATAATAGAAATGCTATTTATTTAAGCTTCTCACTTATAATGAGTCTCCATGTCAATCAAATTATGAAAATGAAAAGATGTGCTCATGTTTTGTTTGTCTGTAGGGGATTGTGGAGGTTCAGGGGTATGTGCTGATAGCTCACATCGCAGTGCGTTCGGTTCCTCTGGACAATCTGCGTATCATACGAGGCAGTCAGCTTTATAACTCCAGCTATGCTCTCGCTGTACATAACAACATCCACCACAGTCAGACGGGACTCGGCTTGAGAGAAATACGCCTCAGGAGTCTTACAGGTAAGGAGTGTGGGACTTGGTGAATTAAAGTATTTTTTAAAAAGTCAAATTTATATTGGGTAATTTTTTGATTATGGATGGTGACCAGTCTAGTTAGGGGATGTGGCAAATACGTTTATATTCTCTCTGTAAATGAATACAATTTTATAAGTCATGGAAATTTCAATTGTGAATATACATTTTTTATGCTCAGCTCTAAAATATTTCATGCTCTTTGTGAGTACTTGTGTATTGAGTAAATCCAGCTCAAATGATAACATCAGACTGTCATTTGAGAGTAATTGCTAGTGTGATTCATTGGGTGGCAAATGTTACTAGTTAATAACTATTTCCTATTGAACACAAAGTGGTCTTTCTCCAGGGATCTTAGAACGTATTTAATTACTGGAAGTTTTTTGTCTTATTAGAAACATCTGTACACTAATAAGTATAATCAAACAAATGAATGAAATGAATAAATGCACTGCACTGATTTTTTGCAAAGAAAAGTTTGCAAAGTCATTTGTTCAAGGTTCCCAGGGTCATGGAAAATTCAGAAATGGTCATGGAAAAATCAGGGAATTTTTAAATTGTGATATCTATGCCCGGGAGGTCATAGAAAGTAATATCATTTTAAGAACTCATTGAGAACTCATGACATTTCTATAGCAAATTCTCAAATTTTCTGTAAGATCTTGTGGGAAAAATGGTCCATTATTAATGGTGTAGCGATACATAAAGAAGCACTCACAAAGAGGTCACTGAAAACAGTGCATTTGGGTGAACAAGTTGACCCTGATTTGAAATCTACGATGGGAATTTTTTCCTCCTCACTCAAAAGTCCCTATTGCACATCTTCCAGTTGAAATGACTGGATTTCAAATGTGAAATTTGCTCAGCTCCAAAATATTTAATTGAAATATTGAAATTGCTCTTTGTGTGTGCATTTGCTGTAAAATGATTTCAATATGCTTTTATAATAGGAAGTGGAACCCTTTGAGTAAAATTATTGCTTTCGTTTCACAGAAATCTTGCTTGGCGGGGTTTATATTTGGGGAAATCCTCAACTTTGCTTTCCTCGGAATATTAACTGGGAAGACACTGTTGCTAAAGTTGAAAACAAACCGCTGCACCTGCAAGACATCCCAAAGAACTGTGAGTTAACTTCAAGAGAGCTATGCCATCATTCATCAGACTGTTTCATGCGTCACTGTTATTTCTCAATAATATTTATCTTTTTTCAGGTCCCCTTTGTTCTTCAGCTTGTCCTTCAAAGAGTGGATGCTGGGGAGAAACAAATCAGGACTGCCAAACATGTGAGTGTCACTGGCATATTTGTCTGCTTTTTGGGTTTGATAACAAAAAATGTTGGGCTTAGAATTGATTCAGTTTAAATGAATTAAGATTGCCTTTTAAATTCCAGTCCATCTCATTTTATTTGATAAACTAACTTTCATGTCCCAGAATGCTCTGATTTGTGCAGAATATTATGCTATCGTATAATTTTGTCGTCAATATTTATTAAGTCTTTTTTTATGAGTTAATGGACATTTTTTGGTGCTCTATGGCAAAATTAACATCTGTCACTCACGACAGCTGTGCTAATTTTGACAGTATTAAATCTAGTTTAAATGAGAGAAAATTTTTGATCAGTTCAACGCTACATCTCCTATCAGGGATTAAATAGAGACAATTTGACCAAATTAATTATGTAATTATTTGTGTTTTTCCATGAAACGTAATAAAATTCATCTTTTGACTAAATTACATGTACCGCTTTCTCTACAGTGACCTCAGTGCATTGCTCATCTGGCTGTTTGCGCTGTAAGGGTCCAAAACCCAACGACTGCTGTCATGTGCAGTGTGCTGCTGGGTGTACGGGGCCGAAAGACACTGACTGTCTGGTAAAAAGATCATAAATATTGCATTTATATCATTCATATCTAACTAAAATCAAATAATATCTGTTTTGCCCCATTTTGTGTTTGCATCTTTAGGCCTGTCGTCACTTCAATGACAGTGGGACATGTAAAGACAACTGCCCCCCACCCACCATCTATGACCCAAACACCTATCAGTCCAAACCCAACAAGGACAAAAAGTTCAGCTTTGGAGCCACATGTGTTAAACAGTGTCCCCGTATGTCAAACTTTAAATTCACTAACAAAATGATATCTTGTTCTATGCCCACAGGCCTTGCTTTTTCTTTCACTGTGAGAATATTATATATGCTGTACTTTCTACACCTTTAGATAACTATTTGGCAATGGAAGTGGCATGTACAATGGTCTGTCCCAAAGCTAACAAGGAAGTCATCACTGTTGAGCCAGATGGCCAAGAAACACAGAAATGTGAAAAGTGTGAAGGAGAGTGTCCAAAAGGTCTGTATGTATAAGTGTGCATATTTTGGCTGAAATGTACATATGCTTCTACGTGACGCTAATGATTCAAGCTGCAATTTAAAGTGTCATTGAGTTCCAAAATGTGTGAAAAAGCACTTCATAACAGTTGTTGTATTTATATATATATTTTTGCATATACTATATATATCAGTATAATTTCTCCTATTCTTATACTGTTAATTTACATATGTTCTGTCTGTTAGTGTGTTATGGACTAGGAATGGGAAACCTTCAAGGGGTGTCAGTGGTGGATGCCACCAACATTGGCATGTTCGTTGGCTGTAAGAAAATCTACGGCAGTTTGGCTTTTCTTTCAGACTCCTTCAAAGTGTAAGCACGGACAGTTGTTCAGCCAAAAATTCCATGTTGCTTGTCTTTGGCTTCTGTGCCACAAAAAAAGGAAGATATTAAGAAAATTTTGCTACAAAATATATCATAAAAGTGATCGTGCACTATTAGTATGGTAGCTTTGTGTTAGAAACAGACTGAAATTTAGTTTTCATTAATAATTTTCTCCATTGCTACAGCTCTCAAATTGTCATTTGCTATGTTTGCAACCACATATTTTTATGCAAAAAAATGTATTCGATAAGGAAACGTGCATAAACGATGATGGAAGAATTTACAGAATAAATTCTCAACCAAAAAACTCACATGAATATGCCTCAAGAGATCATGTGATTAACTGGACTAACCAGCAGATCAATCCCATTGCACACATCTAAAATATTGTTGTCATTCTGAAATGCCTGAGCCAAAATCATCAAAATGATTTGGTATAATTACATCCCAGAACTGTCGCTCATGATTGTGCCACAAAATCTGAAGGCAAGATAACATAACAGCATTTATTATTGCGTTTCATCTGCTGTGCACTGATGTGCAAGTAATTTATTAAGAGTCTTAAATTGTTGTTGCGAGATCTTTTTTATTATTTTATTACACATGATTTGTGCCAATTTCCCAGGAAGTGAAAATTTTGTTCTCTTAAACACATGGGATGGAAACATTGCTTTATTTGCAAATGTTTGATGCAATATTCAGTTTTTTTCCCCCTCCACACAAGTTTAATTCTCAAATTTTGATGGAGACATAGCTATTATTGACCTTAAATTTGGCATGAAGTGTCTTGACATGCCAAGTTTGAATATGTATATGCTTTATAATACTTTTTAGAGCTTAACAGCTCCTGCTTACTGAAAGCTTTCATTATACAGGAAAGAGCAGCGTTAACATTTTTCACAAATTCACCTCTTGTGTTTCACAGAAGAAATAAAGTCATATGGGTTTGCAATGACATGAGTGTGAATAACTAGCTGACTTTAAATTCAACTGACTTCAATTTTTCTATACATGATTGGTTTGTTATACCTGTTGTTACACTTATTGTATTAAAATCTGCTGTGTTGTTCATACAGAAATGCAGCTACCAATTCATCTGGACTGCAGTGGAGTGACCTGGAGAAGTTAAAGACAATAGAAGAAATCACAGGTGAAGATCACAGTTCATATAGACTCACGTCATAAAGATTATAAAGGAAATACAAATCTATACAGTAGATGTCTTTACTTTGAGAGCTAAAATCTACATAACAGCGATACTAGCTGTACCAGTCAATCATTAAATGAAATTTGCATTTGCAATAACATTATATTTGTATTTTAGGATACCTGTACATAGATGCATGGCCAGATAATTTGCTTGATCTGAGTGTTTTTGAGAACTTGAAGGTGGTCAGAGGAAGAATGCTTTACAAGTAAGTATATGTATTATGTCTGTTTTTGGTTCTTACTTGAAATGTAGCTCTTCTTTTGTTTTTTGTTCCCCATTTCCTGTTTCCTATTTCTGTCTTTAAACATGTGATTTGCTAGACTATTTACCCACTTTTCTTGTTTGTCTGACGTCTAGTTAGACTTATCAAACCTGCAGTTTCCTGTTAGCTGTAAAGGTTAATGATTATCCTGTACACCTGCTGCATGATATATCAGTTTTCTTTCCTTTCATCTCTTCAAGTCTATTCTAACCACACAGACTGAGAAAAGAATGTTCTTAGTTAATTTATGAAAGTGTAGGTCATTTTTCACACTTTAGAAGTCAAAATAAAGATTGATACACACAAATGGGGCTGTGATAGATAAGTAGCTTTACCACCTGAAACCCACCGAGAACAATTCAGCATTATCACAAGCACATTTGCTCAAGCAAATTGGTCAGTTTTCTGCATTAATGTATAAATCTAGTAATCTACTTAGTTATCTAGTTAATGGATTTAAATCATTGTTCTCTCTCTGCAGGGGTGTTTTCTCTTTGGGAGTTCAGTCTTTGCAGATCGAGTCTCTCGGGTTGCGTTCCTTGCGCAGTGTCAGTGGAAGCATAGCACTGATTCATAATAACTCTAGACTGTGCTACACCTCCTCTCTGCCCTGGAACTCGCTGCTCCACCCCACACAGGGACCCAACCTCATCAGCAACAACAACCAAGACCAGCAAACATGTGGTAAAAGCCCATTCTTATGTCTGATTAAAGCACTGCATACTGAACAACAAGCTGTACTATATTTTAAATACAGTCATGAATACAGTGCATCATTAAGCATGACACATGGCAGATTGACTATATCAGGGGTCTCCAAACTCGGTCCTGGAGGGCCGGTGTCCAGCTCCAGCTGTGTTTAACTCCAACTCTAATTAAACACACCTGAACCAGCTAATAAAAGCCTTTACTAGGCATACTAGAAACTTCCAGGCAGGTGTGTTGAGGCAAGTTGGAGCTAAACTCTGCAGGACCGAGTTTAGAGACCCCTGGACTATATGCACAGCATGGCGTTGAGTACCTTGTTTTTAATTAACATAATTATAATATAATGTACGCAAATGTCCATTAAATACTAGCATTATAAAGCCTACTGTATCATATTTGATATCCATACATAATTTTTTAGATAAAAATGTGAGTATCAAATATGATACATCAGGCTTTTGAGGAATGTTTATTTGCCCATCTCTCAGTCATCAATGTTTTGAATCGCATTATATATTTTGCCCCACAAAAAAAACTAGGCCTACAGAGCTTTGATCATAAGTCTAATCATGTAAATATCATCTTACTAAGATATATTATTAGGAAATATAGGGTTATAAAATTTATGAAGATATTAAATGTTATAACGATCTCATTGATTTACATTACAAACTGTTAATTTAATATGTGACCCGGGACCACAAAACAAGTCATAAGGGTACATTTTTTTAAATTTTGAGATTTATACATAATCTGAAAGCTGAATAAATAAGCTTTCAATTGATTTAAGGTTAGGTTGTTAGGATATGACAATATTTGGCCGAGGTACAACTATTTGAAAATCTGGAATCTGAGGGTAAAAAAAAAAAATCTAAATATTGAGAAAATCGCCTTTAAAGTTGTCCAAATGAAGTCCTTAGCAATGCTTATTACTAATGATAATACATTTTTGATATATTTACGGTAGGAAATTTACAAAATATCTTCATGGAACATGATCTTTGCGTAATATCCTAATGATTTTTGGCATAAAAGAAAAATTGATAATTTTGACCCATACAATGTATTTTTGGCTATTGCTACAAATAAACCCGTTCTACTTATGACTGGTTTTGTGGTCCAGGGTCACATATTATTTTGGCCATATAAATATCAGCAACTAAACCAAATTGTTAGTTTAGGCCTCTGAATACAATTTTTTTTTTTTTTCCCATTATGAGTTTCCCATAATGAGTAATATTCCATTACATGCTTGACTATAGAATCAAACACAGGAAATTATTTTCTTTTTGTGTAGTTTCAGAGGGGAGAGTATGTGACCCCCTGTGTGCGGATGCAGGCTGCTGGGGGCCGGGACCTAGTCAGTGTGTGTCGTGTGTGAATTACAAACGTGGGACGGAGTGTGTGGAGCAGTGTAATGTCCTACAGGGGTGAGTACTGTATGAATGAGCAGATTCTTTCATTATCTTGCTTTTTGTGCTTTGCTATGTTTACTTACTAAAATACACATAGGAATCATGTAGATTATTAGAATGTTAAATATTGGGCTTTTCCATTGTTTCAGTTTCAGACTTTGTATATAGCAATAACTGCTAATGTCATACAATAGAATGTAGATTCATATGCTGTTGTGGTTTTTAAACTCTTACTGTTTAACTGTACATCAAATGCATTTCCCACAGATCAGTGCGGGAGTTTGTGGATGGATTGAACTGTGTCCCTTGCCATCCAGAGTGTAAACCAGTCAATGACTCTGCTTCCTGTACAGGCCCAGTAAGATGTTAATGCAAAAACAAATATATAATTTACATAATATTTAATAAATATATGCACAAACACACACACACACACACTGGTTTCCATGTTTTATGGGATATTTCATAGGTGTCATAGTTTTTATACTGTACAAACTGTATTTTATGTCCCTTATCCTAAACCCACCCCTCACACAAAACTTTATGCATTTTTAGATTTTCAAAAAAGTTTTTATAAGCTTGTTTCGTCATTGGGACCCAAAGAAAATGTCCCCACAAGATAAAAATTTACTGGTATTACTATCCTTGTGGGGACATTTTTTCCCCATAATGTAGGGAATACCAGATAGACACACACACACACACACACATATTACATACAAGAAAATACACATTTATTGATTACAAATACAAATATATTCATTAATTACTCGTGAAATGTCGTAAAAATAACTAAAATGTACAAAATGTACGAAAAGTTTGTTGTACATTGCATGGTATAGGGATAAAAATTATATATAATCAGAAGCAATATAAATATATATATGAATACTTTCCGTACCCACTGTATATATATACACACACATACATAATATATTCTTTTGTGTTCCATGGGAAAAAGTCATACAGGTAGAACGACATGTGGTTGAGTAAATGATGAATTTGAATTTTCATTTTTCTTTAGGATTTTTTTAGGATTTCCTTTGCCATGAAGATTTTTTTTTACATCTTAGCATTTTTATATTAAGGTTTAAATTATGTTTCTTGTGCAGGGTCCAGAACACTGTAAGGAGTGTCTGCACTTTCAAGATGGAGATGTGTGTGTCGATCGCTGTCCCAGTGGGGTAAAGGAGGACCAGCACACTGTGTGGAAGTACTTCAACGCTACGGGACACTGTCTGCCCTGCGAGACCAACTGCACTGTCTCGTGAGTTCCTCGCTGAGCCGATGGGCAGTGATCCCACCTTTTTATATCAGCTCATGTGCAACAATTTAAGATTTGGAATTAATTTTCTGTTTTGTGTATACCGTCAGGTGTCCACTGGATGATAGGGGGTGCCCCATCCAAAAGAAAACTGGGTAATACTTTATTTAATGTGTGTGTATAATACTTACATGCATTAGTAGTGTCTACATCACTTTTAATTTTGCTCACAGTTTGAACAAACCTCTAATCTCAAGTATAAATCTGCGTAACTCTTAAAAGAGTTAACTGAGTACCTCTAATCATGTGACTTTTTGAGGAGAGGTGGACTACTTTTCTTATGACTGAAATTACGCTTTTCTTCTGGTGGACAATAAAACAAGGCAGAAAAAAAAAATGTACTTTGAAGGAGGGACTTGAAAAATAGTTAGAGACCTGAATAGAATAGGTCATTTTTACACACGTTTTTCGGGTTTCTTGACATTTGGGGTGGTTTTTTTAGACTTGGCAACCACCCACACCCCTAAAAACAATATAGAAATCCAACCATCCAAAACATTTTAGCCTTGTTGTGATGAGTTTTGCACAGGCAAACACCATTCAAATTTAGAAAATGTGAAATTCTAGTTAGTAATCATATCTACAGTATAGCTTTAGCTATAGACTGCGCAGTCTTGCTTAAATCTAATTGTTTGTTGCAAAACCCTGCAGGCCTGGGACAACAGTCGCCGTCACAGTTGGTGGAGTGCTTCTTTTCATCATTTTGCTGGCGCTGCTGGTGTTTTACCTGCGACGACAGAAACACCACAAAAGGAAAGAAACCATGAGGAGAATTCTACAGGAGCATGAGGTCAGATCTCTGCATCCTCTGATCTCTCAATCCTCTAATAAGCGTAAACATAGCACATGCAAATACTGTGTACAATAGTGCATTTTAATTAGAATTTACTGATTTTTTTAGTTGAGTTTTAAAATTATTTGTCCTTTACATTTTACAAAATATTTACTTGAAGTCCCCCTGAGATTTAGTTAGTTAAAAATCATTTACATTTTTCTGTTTTCATCTGGCATATTTAGTGGCTATGTTCACTGAGATTGTCACAGTGCATTATGGTATTTGCTTTTCAACAAAAAGATGGAAATGTCCAAATAAGGCATTTCATAAGCCCTTTTACCTTTTGCAAAATGCCTATGAATTGATAAAAGCCTGGAGTCTAATAACTAACAATAACAGTAAAATGTGTAACGGTCTGCCAAACTTTGTAGTGTTCCTGGCCCTATTAAATGTAGTGAATATCGGTTGGTTATTTCTTCTGTTTATGCCATCTGTTTGACTTGACTGCTTCAGTTTAGTACCGTAGACTTAAGGCATCTTATTTTTTTCCTGAAGCTGGTGGAGCCCCTGACCCCGAGTGGAGCGGTGCCGAACCAGGCTCAGATGCGTATTCTCAAGGAGACAGAGCTGAAGAAACTCAGAGTGCTGGGTTCTGGAGCCTTTGGCACAGTCTATAAGGTCAGCTATGTTACCATTCCTCATCATCTCAATATTAGTTGTTCAGCTGGCACAAATAGCCCCGGAAATATGTGACCAGTATACTGCCATCTTTGCTCATAAACACATTTCATTTTTTATCCAGTCACCCGAGCAAAGAATGCAATGTATATTTAGAGGGCTGTCACGATTCCTCAATTAAATTAGAGTAATCGATTTAAAAAAATCCTTGAATAACCGAAATATGTGACCAGTATACTGCCATCTTTGCTCATAAACACATTTCATTTTTTATCCAGTCACCCGAGCAAAGAATGCAATATATATTTAGAGGGCTGTCACGATTCCTCAATTAAATTAGAGTAATCGATTTTAAAAAATCCTTGAATAACCGGCAAAATAACGGAAGTGGCGCATTCCATGGACGAGAATCCATGAAACACATTATTAGACCGTCTTCCAAGGCTGCATGATGTATTAAACCCATTTTAAAATCATAATAAAGCATAATGCTGTTGTTAATTCACAAATGCTAAGATTCAATTAAATAAATATATGCGATGCAGGTTTAATATATGAGCTTGAATTATTTACATGCGAGTGGATTACGTATTTTGATGTCAACATATTCAAGAAATGACTGTGGCTGTAGCATTTCTGTCGTAAAGAAATGACCAAATATTAAAGATTAAGTGGACATTTTAATTAAATGTTTAGTAAATATTAAACAAGGATTAGATTGTGCAGTAAAGTGGTGCCCTCTTCAGGCATTTGTTATAATGAGTACTGTACATTATAATTATCCAATTACTTGATTAATCGTCACAATAAATAATTGTTAGTGACAGCCCTATGTACAGGAAAGTGGCGGGGTCGACTCTGTATGTTGACGTACTGCCCACAAGGCTATTGGCACACAAGGCTATATTGAGCTGCTGGAGAATGGCCGATGTTTTTGTCAGCTGAACCCTTTAGACCAGGGGTGTCCAAACTCGGTCCTGGAGGGCCACTGTCCTGCAGAGTTTAGCTCCAACTTGCCTCAACACACCTGGCTGCCAGTTTCTAGTATGCCTAAGACCTTGATTAGCTGGTGCAGGTGTGTTTAATTGGTGTTGGAGCTAAACTCTGCAGGACAGTGACCCTCCAGGACCGAGTTTGGACACCCCTGCTTTAGACGTACCCCCGGAGATTTTAAGTTAATATTTCAATAATTTAACAACACATTTGCATGTTAATGGTTCTCTGATGTCAGTTAATGGTCACATGACATACAAGTAGCTTTAATTTGACTTTGTTAGTGGACTTGGATTCAAACCTCTTTTTAGTTGTGATAGCGTCACAATCAACATATTATATTTGATTGGATAGTATTATAAAATATTACATATTTTAATATATATATAAAATAATATTGCAATTTTGTATTATTATGATGTAATATTATTATTGTTAATAGAAATAATTATAAAAATGAACACAATAAATATATTACTGTTTAAAATTACTACTTTAAAGTACTTAAAAATAAAAAATGAATATTTAGTAATAGTCATGACAATAATTTTATTATTATTTACTGTGAACCAAGCCTCTCTGAGATGCTAAAAAACACTGGATTGTAAGCTTCTCGCTTCTCACTTTTAGTTACCATGCTATACTCTGAAACATGCAGTGCATCAGACTGTACATTTTTAATTATTAATTATATTCATTAAATTGTTTCCTTTGGTTTGATAATAATCACACTTAGCTATATCTGAATTTTTTTTTATTTAAATTTTTCATTTGATATAATGAATTATTAGCTTCTCATCAACTAAACAAACCCTCTGCAGCTCCCTTTGTGCTCCCCTGTTTGGGAAACCTTGCTCTAAATTATCATTCCTAATGTAGTTTAACCCCATTCATGCAGAATTTCTCTCATCTTACCAGGGTATCTGGGCTCCTGATGGGGAGAACATCAAGATCCCAGTGGCCATCAAAGTTTTGCGTGAGAACACCTCGCCCAAAGCCAACAAAGAAATCCTGGATGTGAGTGTGTTCCTTACATTCCCATATTTTACTGTAATATTAATTTCCCTTTTAACAACTTTTTCATCTGTTTTATAAAGGTTAAAGGCCAGATTTACTAACAGCTTGCGCCAGCGCAAACCGTCTTTTGGCGTTAAAATAGTACTGTCAGGATTTACTAAAGACGCGCAGTGAAGAATTAGTGCTGAAAAGGCGTGGATACAGTTATTTTTGCGCCTGACCTTATTGAATATGCATTTGTAGGAGTTTCCCTTTCAGATGCAAAATTTATGGGATGAGAGTATTAAAATGAATAACGCAACGCAATTTACTAACGTTTGCGCTCGTCAAATTACTAGTATTTGCGCCATTATTTAACGCTCCAAAAAAGCATGTCTTAAAGCAGACGCTAATTTGCGCTGCTGTTGATAGATTGTGTCGGTCATTATGGAAAGGATCTGGCTGTGTCTGTGTTCTTTAATTTGCGCATTGTCAGTAAATCACCCACAGAAATTTCCACTCCCATTTTGTGGAATTGCGCTCTCACACTAATTTGCCCTGTTTAGTAAATCTGGCCCTAAGAAGACTCTTCTTCCTAATGATAACCTAGTGACTTTTTCTGTATATGTGCATCCATACACAGGAAGCATATGTGATGGCTGGTGTAGCGAGCCCATATGTTTGCCGTTTGCTGGGTATCTGTCTGACATCAACAGTTCAGCTGGTTACTCAGCTCATGCCGTACGGGTGCTTGTTGGAATACGTCAGAGAGAACAAGGACCGTATCGGCTCTCAGTACCTTCTCAACTGGTGTGTACAGATTGCTAAGGTAAGACATCGACAGAATGTCACCTGCGCTGATGGCGGCAGACTTGTGGTATGTTGTTTCCAGTATATTCATTGTTTCCCACAGGATTTTGTAAGACTATGGATGGTGAACCTAGGTCCATCTAGGGGTGTCTAGGAAATGTCCCCAGAAGATAATGGTGTACATGTAAAAGTTAAATGCAGCAATCTGGTGCACTCTGAGAGCTTCAGTTTGGTTTCAGTGACCAAATTGAATGGAGTAAAAAGTGATTGCATTGATTTGTACTTAGACTTTTAATTGGGCTCAAAGCTCTTTTTAGTTTTGATAGTGTCTCAGTCCACATTACATTCACACTGGTGTTTTTAGGAAGCCAAATAATTTAAATATAATAACAATAATTATTATAATACTTTATTATTATTTTATTACTTCACTAAGACAGTCATATATTACTTTTGTAATGTGACTGCAATGTAAAATAAACGTAAATGAAAAATTGATTTGTTCCAACCCAGATTTGTTTATTATTCTCTCTGTCCATGGAATTGACAAAGTTCGTCTCCAGCACCATAATTCAAATGCATCAATTTGTCTTCTGTCTTCTTTCTTTACAGTTCAATTCTCACAGCCATAAGTAACGACCAAAAAATTATAATTTTTGTGAGTCGTATTTTCGTTTTTAGGGAGATGTCTTTGGACTTGAACATCTTGTCTAGTGACGTCATTGTAGACTTTCCAATAGCAATTCTTCTTATGAATTCCTATGCCGTTGTTGCATCCAAATTGACCAGTGATCTCAGTAGATTAAAGTCTTTGTTCACTTCTGTTTCATCGCCATCCAGTTCAAATGTATCATGATCGTGTTTGTCCATCGCCAGTTTTTTGGTTTTCTTCACATTGAGCATGAGTCCTCACATAACTGGCACAGTAGCACGTTATATTCTCAAATGCATGTAAAACTCACACATACAGACATTAAGTTTGCTTTACTGTGAACCAAGACACTGAAAACACATATCACAAGAGACTATATACTTATTTAAATCACAGCCTTTTGCAATTTAATAAACACACTAAGCCATATCACAGTTTTAGTTGGATTAACAGATGCTTTGCCAAAGCAATTGCACAAAATACTGTGTTAGAGATTTTTCATTTTATTATGAGAATTGTAAAAGTATTTTTGCTTTCAATATAAAACTGTGGCAGGACAAGTTGGACTGTGATGGCATAGTTTTCTCAGCTACATGACCATTGTAACCCATCCGTATTCTATTGCCAAGCTACTTGTGCTCATGTTCTCATATCTGTTTTTTTGTGTACCCAGGGAATGAGTTACCTTGAAGATGTCAGGCTGGTTCACCGAGACCTTGCAGCTAGGAATGTTCTGGTCAAAAACCCGAACCATGTGAAGATCACAGACTTTGGGCTTGCCAGACTGCTGGACATAGATGAGAAAGAGTACCATGCTGATGGGGGAAAGGTGTGTGTGTTTTACATGTTGCTTTGGTTCAGCTGCTGAAAGTGAATTTGAAAACAGTGTTGGTAAATCTGCTATCCTGTATTTATTGAGAATATGATTATGTGTATGTGTTGAATAGGTGCCGATCAAATGGATGGCACTCGAATCCATATTACATCGGAAGTTTACTCACCAAAGTGACGTATGGAGCTACGGTCGGTATCCGCTTGGGTTTACAGTTGCTCTGCTGCAATTGATAAACCTCTGGTTTAAAATAACCTTTCAGGCTTGGCTCTTTCCATCTCAGGGGTGACTGTGTGGGAGTTGATGACCTTTGGCATGAAGCCATATGACCAGATACCAGCGCGGGAAATTCCAGACCTACTGGAGAGGGGAGAAAGACTCCCTCAGCCGTTCAACTGTACCGAGGATGTATACATGATCATGGTCAAATGTTAGTGTTCATTTATAATGATAATAAGGATTATAGATAGACATTTGTGCGTATATTTGATTCAAAATTGTATTTCAAATGTTCTTGTACTGTTAAATTTAAGTTTTTCTTTTACTTCTCTATGTCAAACTGTCGATTACCACAAAAAAAGTAGTCTTGACTCATGTTTCAGTTTACACTTTCCCCAAAAAGTGTAAATACTGTGGCACTTTCAGGACATTGCTGTTGATTGTCTGGATATCATAACTTCTGCATAGTGACTTTTGCTTGTTTTTTACAAACTGAGAGACAAGTCAAAATTAGTTTCTGTGTTAATCGACACACAGAAGCTGTACATAGGGTTTAATTTGTATTGAATATGTAGGGAACTTTTTTGACCATATGACCCTATGCCAGGTTGGATGATTGATCCTGAAAGTCGACCACGATTTAAGGAGCTGGTGGATGAGTTCAACGTCATGGCACGTGATCCCCCACGTTATGTAGTCATTTTGGTGTGTGCATTTTGTATATTTTGCCTTTATGAACAATAGGAATAATAGAGGGCTACAACTAACAACAACATTGAAAAGCATTTATATATTATCTGTATATAATTATAAATAATATATTGATTATTTCTTAGAAATAGATTGGATATTCCTCATCTTGCCCAATGATCTCCTTCAAATAATGATTGAAATAATGAAAAAACTATATATATATATGTATGTATGCTATAAAAAATGGTTTAAAACATAAAAGTGTTTTAAAGTGCTGATATTCTCATGCATAGTGCAAACTGAGCAATAATGTAGTTTTTTTTTTGGATCATTTATATTAATAATCCTGTCCTTTTGTAGTGATGTTTTGACATAGACATAGATTGTGGTGTTTTTCAGTTTTTTCCTGCTTTTTTCAGAATGATGATCAGATGAGTCTTTCGAGTCCTGTTGACAGTGAGTTCTTCCGCACACTGCTGGCAGAAGAGGGAGGGAATGTGAAGGAGTTACTGGATGCAGAAGAATACCTGGTGCCCCAGCCCGGTGGCATCTTCAACACACAAGGAGAAATGAGAGCCTACGGACCCAGCAGACACCACTCTCACCGGGTCAGAGATGATTAATAGCATAATAATAGATCATAATTATTTATTTATGAGTGAAAAGTTGCCAAAGCTTATGCTGTTTCCAGCTGTGTGTAGCACCTGCAACTCTGCATATCTTTCACAGGGATCTTAAAATTCATGGTTAATGTTAATGGAGAGGTAAAAGTAGATTCAGTTGTATATTTAAGATTAATTTTAGTATTACTGTGGTGCAATGTTTAAAGTTTCCTTTAAATATGCAAACTCTTAAACAAGAAATGTTGTTCAGGTAAATATAAATAAAATCTAAGTAAAACTAACCATAACTAACTTGATCAGTAAGATTCTCATGACAGCAGTTGACCTGAAAAAAAAAAAAAATCCTGACAGTAGAAGTCAGTAGTTTCTATAATTGAAAATAACATTTGAAATAACGAACTTGAGTGCGAAAAAAAATCAGAATTTTATAGTATGTGTACAGTGCAACAGCAATGAGCTTTTTTACATTTTAGAGAAGCCAAGTTGCGATACCGAACAGGACTATATGGAGATGCCAAAAAAACCTAAACCTGCTGACTGCATATATCTACTACAGTACACGGATACATTCCGTATAACTAAACACAGCAAAATAAACATGACAAATCAAAACATTATCGTGAATGTGTGTGAAAACAACGTGAATGTAAGGAAATGTCTGTGCCTGTGCATAAATACAATGTGCGATCAGTGATCACTCATACACGCATTATTATAATGGACTCACGCGTGCTTACTGTATGACTCCTTTACGCCACCGCAATCGTCTTTACCTTGATTGCAGTTTTCATCCATCAAAACTTTACTAGCGAGACTGGTTATCCAGTCGCGTCTCATCTGGCCATACAGCGGTGGGATGTGTTGACATTCCGTTCAGTCTGTACTTCACACAGCGCTCTTCAGAGACAATCACAGAGACAGAGCTCGGAGTTTAGCAGCTTAAAATTATCTAATCGCAAGCAGAAAAGCAAAATTGGGTTAAAGGGTTAGAATAGAAATTGTGCTTTTTTGCGTTAATTGCGTTAAATTATTTTAACGCGTTAAGGATTGTAAAATTAATCGCATGCGTTAACGTATTAACGATTACAGCCCTAATTATATTATATTATTATGTTATGTTATAATGTATTTATTTTTCTAAATAAATTAAAAAATAAAACACTTATCGGCCATTCACTGACACTGTACCAATATATCGTGCATTCCAACAATTTTAGCTAACAGTTATTTCAATTAAGTCTCACTCCACATTGTTGTTGATGAATATCCTGTTTCCCTTGTAAATACATTACATTACAGAGGTAAAAGTTGCTATTTAAGACTTATTTTAACACTTTTAATGCCATCATTTCAACACAGTATCTTTAAAAAAAACTCTAAAGTGTTAAGGTATGTATTGGTTATTGTTCTAATTATTATTATTATTACTTTTTTCTTTATGCATTGGTGATGGGTATTATCACAAAAGAAAAAAAGTGAGGGAAGAGTGCTTGAACTGAAAGACCCTTTTAATTTATTCATTTATTATTTTTATTTAATTAATATAATTAATTAGTCTTAATATTATTTAAATTACTTGTTAGGAATTAGGTGTCATTATAAGAGTTTGATATGACTATGTGGATTTTTTTTTTCTCTCTCCCTCTACTTTTTTCATATGAAAAAGTGTTTAGGTATATATTGGTTATTGTTCCAATTATTATTATTATTACTTTTTTCTTTATGCATTGGTGATGGGTATTATCACAAAAGAAAAAAACTGAGGGAAGAGAAAGTAAAAGGAAAAATTAGGAATAATAATTGGTGAAAAATGTCTTTAAAGGAAATGTTCATTTGTATAACTGTATTAAATGTGCTTGAACTGAAAGACATAATAAAGTATAAAATAAAAATTAAAATTCTCTTTGATTACAGAGTATGTGAACCAGGACGTGTCATCTGACCGTCCCAGCACACTTCCACGCAAAGCGAGAGAGAGGAGATTCATTAACGGTCTTTATACAGGGAACAGTGTGGAGAACCCAGAGTACCTGGTGCCAGTGCACAGCATCTCACCCGTTTCACCCGCCTTCGACAACCCCTACTATCATGATATCGCAGCTAAAGCTCAGGCAGTCGCCAGAGCGTCCATAAACGGAGGTACGACTCACAGGCAGCCCAATGGCTACATGACCACCACAGCAGAAAACCCAGAGTACCTGGGCTTAGCAGAGACATGGAGTGGTCAGATGGAGTATACTTGAGAGGAATCACTCGGTACAGTTTGAGTGTAAGCGTGAGCGGTGAAGTTGTGTGCATGAGCGAGCGAGTGAGTAAAAGACATATTTTGTGAAGGACGTTCTCAATGGGAATGGTTTCTCATGGCTTTCTACTAAATTACCATACAAACGTATGTAGCATTCTGTACTGGAGTTGGAATTTGAAGATTGGATGCATTTCCTTTTTTTGCCAAAAAATCTGCTTTTTTTTGCATCTTACAAATACATGGTACGTTTTTAAGACTGCTTGAATGATGTTAACACTGGATAATGTCTTTGTAGCACACTAAGGATTTTTATTTGGATTTGGTCATCTCATAAAAACTTTACCTTTTATGGAGATTCAATTCAATTCCAAACCAGGACCGTACACACTGCTTTCCAGAGCGCTGCGTGAGAGCCGGACACAATCAAAGCTGCTCTGTTCTGTGTGTAACGGCCCTGGGTGAGCAGCTATAGTGCCAGTGAATGAAAGACTGACATTATTGCCGTACGAAGCGGGCGTTGTGTGTTCAGCGATGCAGCTGGCTCTGAAGATTCATCAGCATTTCTCATCTGTGACATATCCAGGTTTTCGCATTTGTTTGGGTATTTTTTTAAATTCCTTGTTTGAGCAATGACTATCTTCATTATGGGCTGGGTAACAGTTGTACAGATGTATGTAGAGCAAAGGGTGTCCAGGTCATATTGCACCCTGATTTTAAATATTGTGCATAATACTAATGCGTATGTTAAGATGTTTGCTTAAGCTTATTTTTATTATAATTAATCGCATTTCCTCCCGAGAATCTCATTAGTGTACATATGAACTGCCGTTCAAAAGTTTGGAGAAATACTGTATTCGGCAAGGCTGCATTTTATTACAGTTTTTCTGAATTGCTAAAACACTAAACCCCTGACTCTTGTGTGTGTGTGATCTGAGAGCACCGGTTGATTTTGAGTACAGGTGAAATGGTTTTGCAGTGATTGTTTGATTTTGATGGAAGAGTCAGAGAGCCACAAAAATATGAAAAAGCAAAAAGCGTCTTCGACATGGATAATTATAAAAAAAACAATTCTTGAGCAGCAAATCAACATGGTGAGCTTGAGAGACTTTCAAAAACATTTAAAATCTTGATTATTCCAAACTTTTGTACAGTAGTGTATATATATAACAATAATCTGCCATGGGTCTTCTTTAAAATGAGACCAAACTTAACTCTGTGCTCCCAAGCTTCAAATTTTTATGACGCACAAGGGTTAAAATACGTCACAATGCAAAACGTCTTACTAGTACTGGTAGAATTAATTTTCTTTAGGCAAAAATTTGTTTTATTTTTGGTCCTTTTGATTTTGGGTTGAAATATGACCTGGATATATCTTGAGGTAAATATGTTTAAATATCTCCCTGTATTTTTTTATTGCACATTTTAGTTACCTACCGGACTTTCTTCTTTGCAGTGATGAATACAATATGGTATTAATTGATGTGAATGGGCCCTTACTACCAGACCAACTGGTTTATTTGTAATAAGAGGTTTCAATCAATGTTTAACCCCAGATGTGATCATTCATGTTCATAATGTCTATTGTTATTATTTTATAAGAACTCCTTTTAGGCACGACACCTCCTACTCATTTAAATTTGCCTCACATGCACGCAGAAAGACGGCTAACACTAAACACAGTGTTGTGGAGTAAATACTCCATGTTTAAGAATGTGGTCTGATTTCCATATATTAGCAGCTGTGGCCTCCGGCTGGACGAACACCCCTTCAATGCCTCCATTGTTCCAAATTACAACGTGCGCCTTTTGTTAACTCCCCGACTCCAGCGTCCAGTTAATATGTCACTTCTTTGAGGAAAGACGTGAATGTTTTGTCCTTGCCATATCAATACGCATTCTTTAGTGCCATTTCATACATTATGCAGTTATTTTCACTAAACCACATCTTAAATTCCAGATGTTTGAAGATCTATCATGGTTTAGCAGTTACTTGTTGATTTTGCTGAATATGAAATGAGAAATTCAGCTTTGAGAGTATGTGAAGCTGTGGTCACAGATGACGAACTGTGAGTGAATGGAGTCGCTTGAGTGAGAGAGTGATATTATGTGTGCTAGTGGCACTCCACTGTGTTTCGACGTCAGCTCAAACAATGACGTGATTGTTTTTCACAATAAGGGATGGATCCTTGTCTCTGCATAGCCAACACAGTCTACACCGTTTTGTTTTGGTCCAGGCTATTGGTTCAGTTTGAAAAATGTGTAGAAATAGATCATACTGTAGCAATCTGTTCGAACATCCTGAGCATTGGGGTGCTGGGGCTTTCCAACTTGTTTTAGCAATTGCATTTGATGCCACTACTGACACAGAAATAACACGCTTCCCCTTTGACGTGTCTATTTAGTTGCCTTCTTTTGGTATGTGATTCTATACTTGCATGTTTACTTGATTACTTTTCCAAAGATGCATAAGAAACTGATTTTCCATATTTCCTTTTTAGATGTAGAACCCTTCATTTACTGCAAGCCACAGCGTTTGACAATAGAATTAAGCACCAACAGTAGCTTCGAAGTTTTAGTTTCAGCTCCATTTGTCATGCCATAAATCAGCATTGATGCCAACTAAAATTTTTTCAGGATCCAAAGTCTTTGCAAGCACATTGAAGGAACTTTATAATCTATTAATGCCATGATTTTGACAAAAATATACACGTTGAGTGTTTAATATTGAATGTTGTACTTTTTATATGCATATTGTCCAGATCTCAGCTAGTGGTTGAATGGTAATTGTAGACTTTTTGAGGTAATAATGCTATTTTCCGTGTGAGCCGCGAGATTGTAAATATACTGTACACAGTATGACTTTGAGAACTCTAATGGTACCAGTGTGCAAAAGTCTTTTGAGAGATATTTTAAACAGTGCTTCTTGGTAACCAGACTTTGCCAACTGGCTTAAATTGAATTGTAAAGAGGTACATTAGGATGCCTAAAATTGGGGTTTGAGGTAATAATGCTATTTTCCGTGTGAGCCGCGAGATTGTAAATATACTGTACACAGTATGACTTTGAGAACTCTAATGGTACCAGTGTGCAAAAGTCTTTTGAGAGATATTTTAAACAGTGCTTCTTGGTAACCAGACTTTGCCAACTGGCTTAAATTGATTTCTATATTACTGGTAAAGAGGTACATTTTGATGCCTAAAATTGGGGTGAACAATCTCCTCACCTGCTTTTTATGTTATTCTACAAAACAATGTTGTGAGATAATAAAAAGAAATGAAATCAGAGACAAACTTCAATCCATGTGATTTCATGGCATCTAAAGCACAAACTCATCTACTTAAATTAGGAGTAGTTTTGACATTTGGCTTCGGAATATTTGGTAACATGACTGGACGCTCTAGGAAGTTTATGAATCAATGTCAGCATAACCTATTTAATATTCATGAGCTAAAATCATATTTTTGTTAGTGTTATAAATATGCTTAGTAATCATAAGCTTAAGTTTTCATTATATTAGTGTTTACAAGTTGCCAGTTTACATATAAATTATCCTGTGTTAATTATTAACTGTTTACTTTCACTACGAAAGGGTCATATTATGAAAATAAACATTTTAATTCATCTTTTGCTATACATAAGGTAGATATACAATGAAAAAATACTGCATCAGAACTCGGTGTCCTCTCAAGTCCAAAAAGAGCATTTATTGATCTATCTCGATCTGAAATCTGTGACCTTGTGATGAATAGATCTAATCACATTATGAGGAAGTAGAGAGTTATTCCTAAACACCAAGAAGATAATGTTCATGTTCAAATAATGATAAGAATAAGTCAGGGGATGTTCCGCCTTTTGTGATCTTATGGAGACCGTGCCACACAGAGGTCAGTGTCCAGCAGACACACTTTAGTTCTGTGGATACAATTAGAGGTATTACATTTAATTGCATGCATATGAATTTCTTTAAAGGGGTCCGATTATGCTTTTTCACTTTTTCAACTTTAGTTAGTCTGTAATGTTGCTGTTTGAGCATAAAAAAGATCTGCAAAGTTACAAAGCTCAAAGTCCACTTCAAAAGGAGATATTTTATTTAATAGAAATCACTTTTCAAAAACTACAATGAACGACTCGTTTGGACTACAACGCATATTTTCCGGGATTTGTGATATCACAAATATCGACGAATAGGACGAGATCTGGTTGAGCTGCACTAGAGAAGGCAACGAGTGTTATATCACTATGTCGAAGACACGCTAGCTTTCCCAAGGCAGACAAACTTAGAGTGGTTACAATCATCCGGGTTTAAATCGCGCTCAAATTTATTTGATTTTGACGCAATATTTACACTGACGCTGGCAGGCGGCTATGGTAAGGGGCATGACATTTCCCGACCAGGCGCCGAGTGGAGCCAATCACAGCACACACTGGCCCAGCTAACCAATCACAGCACATTTCGTACTTCAGAAGGCAGGCCTTCATTTGATACAGGAACTATTCGAGCCGTTCATGTCAGACTGGGTAGAGAGGTGTTGTAATAATGTAAAATATGTGAAAAATAATGTGTTTTTCGAACAACCTAGTATGAGAGCCTGTTCTAGTACACCCCCAAAACAAAATCTAGACTTTGTAAAAGAGCATAATAGGATCCCTTTAAAGCAACTGCATAGAAACACCTTAGCAACCACCCAGAACACCCTAACAAGTAGCATCTGCATAGCAACACTTCAGCAACCACTCGGAACACCCTAACAAACAGCAACTACATAGAAACACCTTAGCAACCACCCAGAACACCCTAACAAGTAGCATCTGCATAGCAACACTTCAGCAACCACTCGGAACACCCTAACAAACAGCAACTACATAGAAACACCTTAGCAACCACCCAGAACACCCTAACAAGTAGCATCTGCATAGCAACACTTCAGCAACCACTCGGAACACCCTAACAAACAGCAACTACATAGAAACACCTTAGCAACCACCCAGAACACCCTAACAAGTAGCATCTGCATAGCAACACTTCAGCAACCACTCGGAACACCCTAACAAACAGCAACTACATAGAAACACCTTAGCAACCACCCAGAACACCCTAACAAGTAGCATCTGCATAGCAACACTTCAGCAACCACTCGGAACACCCTAACAAACAGCAACTACATAGAAACACCTTAGCAACCACCCAGAACACCCTAACAAGTAGCATCTGCATAGCAACACTTCAGCAACCACTCGGAACACCCTAACAAACAGCAACTACATAGAAACACCTTAGCAACCACCCAGAACACCCTAACAAGTAGCATCTGCATAGCAACACTTCAGCAACCACTCGGAACACCCTAACAAACAGCAACTACATAGAAACACCTTAGCAACCACCCAGAACACCCTAACAAGTAGCATCTGCATAGCAACACTTCAGCAACCACTCGGAACACCCTAACAAACAGTAACTGCATAGAAACACCTTAGCAACCACACAGAACACCCTAACAAGTAGCATCTGCATAGCAACACCTTAGCAACCACTCATAACACCCTAACAAGTAGCATCTGCATAGCAACACTTCAGCAACCACTCGGAACACCCTAATAAGTAGCATCTGCATAGCAACACCTTAGCAACCACTCATAACACCCTAACAAGTAGCATCTGCATAGCAACACTTCAGCAACCACTCGGAACACCCTAATAAGTAGCATCTGCATAGCAACACCTTAGCAACCACTCATAACACCCTAACAAGTAGCATCTGCATAGCAACACTTCAGCAACCACTCGGAACACCCTAATAAGTAGCATCTGCATAGCAACACCTTAGCAACCACTCGGAACACCCTAACAAGTAGCAACTGCATAGAAACACCTTAGCAACCACCCAGAACACCCTAACAAGTAGCATCTGCATAGCAACACCTTAGCAACCACCCAGAACTTAAAACCTTCAAACCTTTTAAGACCAGGCTTTTTCAAGCCAACATCAAAGTTTGACTACAAACTTTTTATCAGATTTTTATTTATTTATTTTATTATTATCTGTTGAACTTCAAAATCTGGTAGATCTTTAAAGAACAGCATCCAGAATTGTCTTATGTCTCTCTTCATTTTAAGAGTAGCTTTTTCAGTAGTTTAAAGCAATATTTCCTTTGAGATCCTCAAATATCTAAACACCTATTCTAAATGCATATTTTTATTCCTGTGACTATTTATCTTTAGATTTATTAAATCACTTTCTGCAAAGACAAGTCTTGACTACATAAAAGGGATTGAACATTGTTTTAATTATAGTAAATAGACAGAATATTCCAGACATAAAGTGGCATTCTTTGATTAGATTTGCTGTATCATTACAAAGGTTTATCAGCTCCTGTATTATCTGTTTCCCGAGTCTCACTGCATGTAGAACATGTCATTGATGGTCACTCACATTCATCTTGAGGTTTGAGATGCTTAAGTTGCAGCTTTTGTAGGATTTTGTCCTGTAGTGTTTGTATTTAAATGTTTGTTTAACTGTTAAAAAGACCAGCTTGAGATTTTACGCTGTTCTGGTTTAGTGCTAGTTTAGGCCTGTCCTAACTTATGGACTGCAATGCTTGGTTTACCAAGATGGTCAAATTGCTTGGTATTCTTAGCATCAGTAGGGTATTTATCGATTGTGTTTTGATGGGTTCTCATTGTTCTGTTATGATAAGCCGGTTGATGGTGTGTTGTGATTTTAGCTGACTGGTAAGGCAGGGTCAGACGTGTATTTTGGAATTTCTTCCAGGTGTGATGAAGTGTCCAGGTTGCCGGGCAATGAGGGAAAGCGGAGGGATGCACAGAGGCGTGGTGCACCTATCAATATGGGCTGAAGCACTGGGGTTGAAACAGTATTAGTTTCCAGTTTATCGGATACACAGTCATCTGATGCAGCTCCCATGTGAACACCACTGGACAGAGAACCCTGGGAATTTGACTTGAATATGGAATCTGGCTGGGCTGAACTCTGGAAACACAGAGTTAAAGATAGTTAATTTGGTTTATTAATCATTCTAGTAAAAAAAAAAAGCTCCACACAGACATTTTTTTATTGCCATAAATTTAGTGTGGATACTGCTCAGCTAGAGGTTAGTATTTAGTATCAAGATGGTTTTTGGAATGACTAAAGTTCTGGTAGTAATCAAACCTTGTTAAAAAGAAGTACACTTGAGCATACTTTTATATAAACTTAAGTGTAAATTTAATGTACAGTAATATTTTCTGTCACTTAATTGCATGCTATTTACAATTAAATTAAAATGTATTATATTTTAAATTTACATTAAATACAACAGGTTGAACTTAGTGCGTACTTGACCCACTTACGTAGATAACTTCATAATATGTAACTTTATAATTATTCTATTATCTTTAAAAATATGGTTAAAGTGTACTTACAAGCATTTACGGTAAACTAAAATATAATATTGTCCACTGCAATCAGTCCAACACTTTAATGTTTCATCTACTGAAACCATTTGTAATTACACATTTGTAATTAAGTTATTACAAATGTGTAATTACAATTGTGTAAATAGCAATTAACTACATTTAAAAAAAGATATTAACTTTAAATGTAATATCAAATAAACATATTACGGTGAAATTATAAATAACTTGTGCTTTAGTATTTTAGTCAACACACCAAAAATAAGTGTTGGTCTTTTAAGCATGACAAACGATTATAAAACAATTTATTAAAACGATTATTTAAAAGTAAACTTTGAATGAAATAATTAACTGTAATGAATTCAATTGTAATAATTTGCCAAAATTATTACAAAGTGCACTATTTAAAAATGTACTTAAGTGAGTTAAGAAACAATCATAAAATGTAATTCTATTTAAGTACACTTAAGTGGCCTTTTATTTCATTAATATTAATGATTTTATAAAGATATAATTTTTTTTAAAGATATGAAGTGCACTAAAAGTGCACATTCACTATAATTAAACACACTTCTTTTTGTCTGTCATTGAAAACCAATTTTACTGGACAGCATTTTTACCTGAATGCCAGTGTTTCTACTGTCCAGCTGAATGTTTGGGATCAGGTACATGCTGTGAAGTACTGGTGCGCTGCTTCCGTACAGTATAGCAGGGTCAGGAGTGTGGTTGTCAGGTAATACGGTGCTATATGCTGGGGGCACCGGAGCAATCTGTTGCTGGAGAAGCTGAAGGATCACATTGATGTCTGCTGTCATTCTGGTCTCCAGCCTGGGAGAAAGGGAGCAGAAAACTGCAGCATGTAAGTAGTTA